GGGATTCTGAAATGAGTTTCAAATATGTCATGATTTTCCATCGAGATAGTAGCCAAGATGGGATGAGAGAAAAATAAAAAGGAATCCTGGGATCATGTTGATATCTGCTTTCCCAGGTCCCCGCACAGATGAAGTTTCTGAGGTCTCTCATGTGCAGAATCAGACACTTCTGTCTGATGGTACCGATCCATACACCCTCTAAGCTGGGCTGCGAGCGTGGGCTCTGGGCTCATGCCATCTGTTCTTGAGTCTCAGCTTCGTGTATTCCTTTAATGAATTCGTGCAAGTGGCTCAGTCTCCTTTATTTACCAAACACTTGCCTAGCAGTTACCCTGACCCAGGCCCTGTTTGAAACTCTTCGTACTCTTCTAACAGCCCCCTAACATTGTTCTCATCCCAGTTTACAAATCAGCTTGGTCATAGAGAAAGTAAATTCCCCGAGATAGAGGGTGACAGAGCTAGTGGGAGCGCGCGGTCAGCCCAGGCAGTATGGCCTGGAGTCCAAGCCCTTTACCACCATGCTGAACTGCGGCACACAGCCATTCTTCCCCAGGGCCGCGTGAGGCTTCACTGCGCGGATGCACACAAAACGTCCTACAGTAACAAGCACGCAGCCACAGTCAGTGTGTGGGGTCTGGAATTACCCTGTTGAGGTAAAGCTACACGTCTGCTAGGCCCTGGGTGCCACCGAGCTCTTTCAAACAGTTCATCCAACTGGCCCTGTCCGCACACGTGGACTTCTGCTTTAGTTTTCCCGTTTGCATTTCTGTTTCCAATGGGACGGTGACCCAGGCCTGACCTCCAGTGCACTTGGCTGGGCTTCCGACTGTTTTTGGCCCTGGATTCAGGTGTGCGTGGTCACAAGTCTGATGTTCCAGGTTTAGCTACACTTCCCTTTCACTTGTTGATTTACCCCTGCATGTCCTTGAGCAGGTTTATATTATTCCAGGTGTAACTACACAGGAAGGTTTTCGGTGACCTGAAGTAGCCTGGTAAATTAGAAAAGAAATAAAGTCTAGAGTCCCAGACCCGGGTTTGAATCTCGGCCTCAGCAGTGTGTTCTTGGGAAAGCCAGTGACCATGCTTTGGGACTTGGTTTTCTCATTGGTAATGACAGGAAGAAGAATTTCTATTCTCCGGGTCGTGGTTAGGAATTCAACACGATATCGTATGTGGATGGTGGATAGATCTAGCACTGTGATCAACAATTTCCATTCTCTCACCTTCTAAAAGTAAAGAGGAACTCAAGTCTGGAAAAATAACTTCAGTTAACCTTTGCATCAGACAACACACTCAGGTTCTCATACTGCTATAGACTGGGATTGCTGAGCAATGCTGGGACTCACCAAAGCTGATGGGTCATGCATGGCTTACATCACTTTTGAGTACTTGCAACTAAAATCTTTAGAAACCATTACACTCCATATGTTTGTTCATTTATCTATGTGTATGTGTTCTCAATGTTTATCCTTACAATGCTCTTGTTTGCTGTGTTTTGACAAGATGCCCAGTTGTTTGTGCTTGGGAATCCTAAGAAACAAATTGTTCAAAAGAAGTCCAAGTAAACAAAACATAGCTTAAATGCCACAGAACACAATCATGGATTTCATCAGGGCTGAGAACACGGTGAGAGAAATGGAATCGTAGGGTTTCCCAGTGATGCCTGAGAAAGAGCCTGGGTCACAATTCACTGCTGGCAGGGGGCAGGGGAGGGGGCGTTCAGTAACTGCCGTCATGCAAACCTGAGCAGGAACCTCTGAGCTTAGCTTGTTGCCATTAATCTGAAAATAGCTCCTTACTAATTCACAGTCATTTTTTTGGTGATATTTAAAGAAAGTGGAGAGACAATCTAATCACTGAGGCTGGATACTGGCACAGCTCCATCTGCAATTGGTTTAGTGAGTGTGTCTGACTATTCTTTATGTACTTCATTCTTTGTACAAGATGTTTCTTAATTATGCAGAAACAGATAAACATGCTTTCTTGAAGCTGGCCTTGCATGAACTGAGAAGGAAAAATGATCAGTGGCATCTAATCTGAATTGCAAATACAGTAATTCCTCAAGTTGGTCTACATTCTTTTATAACTAAGATTGTGAGTTCTTGGTTCAAGTGCCAAAAAATTGAGGTGAATAGCCTGATCTTGGTCAAATTAGGTTCTATTGAATGGAATTCATGAAATCTTTGTTATAGTTACTGCATTTTCAGGATGATATTGCAACTATAAGTATTTTATAAAAGTTAAGTTTTCTGTCCATTTCCTTACCAATTTGAAACAGGTGCTTCAGGTTCAAATTTTAAGTCTTCAGTAAAAGTATCAGGAGGGGGTCCTTGTATTTTTTATCATAAAGACATTTCCTCAGAGACTTTTTCAGTCTCTGGACCCAAACAGGGAGACAGGAAGACCAGGGGAAGATAATGAAGCTCATTATGTGATATCCATTCAAACATATTAGTATGAACATATTTTAGTACTAGGAATTCTCTTCTATGAGGGTTCCTCAACTCTCTGGCATTCTTTGCTACAATTCAGCTTTGACTTTAAAGGCTCCTAAGCAAATTGGGGCCAGGAGTGAATTAAAGGAAGGACCAGAGCCCGGATGGAAGCTGGGGTGCTTCTGACAGTCCTGATCTCGTTGTGGGTGGTTCTCCTTCCCAAATGTTCCTTCTAGATCAGTGATGGTGAACCTATGACACGCGTGTCAGAGGTGACATGCGAACTCATCTTTTGGTTGATTTTTTCTTTGTTAAATGCCATTTAAATATATAAAATAAATATCAAAAATATAAGTCTTTGTTTTACTATGGTTGCAAATATCAAAAAATTTCTATATGTGACACGGCACCAGAGTTAAGTTAGGATTTTTCAAAATGCTGACAGGCTGAGCTCAAAAGGTTCGCCATCACTGCTCTAGGTGATCATAAAGAAAAAGAAACAATGAATTAGAGGATGTCTCTCAAAGGCTCTGCTAGTATTAAAAGACATTATTAGAGTTAAGTATTGGAATAGAATCAAATATAGTTTGTGTCTTGTCCACTGAGCTCTTCCATTGTCTCTTCATGTGTGGGGTAAAGCCATTGAGACAAGTTCTTAGTGACGGGGAGGAAGTCTCTCTCTCACACACACACACACACACACACACACACACACACGTGTGTGTATGCATGCCTACCGATAAAGGTACAAATGGTTTGCTTCTTACAAAACACTTGGACAGTTTAAGTCCCCCGGGTTAATGTCTCTTCCCTTAAGCTTGGCATTTCATCATTTTCTATGTACAAAATACAGTTTCACATTCTCCCTGTGCCCTACATTGCTTTCCAATATTGAATGATATGAAAAGTCAAGCAACATTCAGTTAACCCACATCTCTAAGTTGTCCACAGGGATTGAGTACCTCCTCTCAAAGTGCCCCACAACACAGAGCATTCTCAAGACGCTGACTGGGAAGGGAAGAATATTGCAGACAAAAGGAATAGCGAGTTTTCAGATGGAGTCAAGAAAGCAAAGTTGTTCAAAAACATACAGTTCAAGGTAAAGAGGAACGCTGACGTTAGTTAGACAAATGGTACACTAAAGGTCATGATGGATTTTTGGAAGCCTTGCAAAAGAGTCTGGAAAGCAATGAAATGCATCATTAACTGAAAAAAATGTCAAGCACATTTGTACTGAGACTTATTTTACTAAAGAGTTGTGTAGTCATTGATGCATTCCAACCTGGGCTGTTTGGATCAGGTGGTCATTTGTTGAGAGCGGGGCTGGTGACACAGATAATGAAGATCTGGACCCTCCAGAGCAGTGCTGTTTGCACACTTCTATACTGTCAGTAACCATCCGTCACATGCCTACTGAGGACTTGAAATAAGGCTCCTGCAAAGAATGGTAATTGCCTTAAGAGCAGTGGATAGTGAAGGAAAAAACAGAGATAGCTGTGTTGGGGATTAAATGCTAAGAAATATGGCAGAACTCCCAAATACATTGTGCAAATCCAGAGCAATATTACGAAGTCCAGTGCCACAGACACACCAAATCTACAAAGTAAATGTGTCAAAGTTCAGAGGCATATTCCAGCACAATCTGGCAAGAGTTAAGAAGCAGGGCAGGCTTGTAGAAGAGTCAGAAAAAGTCTTTTGGAACTGATTCATTAAAGCAGAGTTGTTTTAGAATCACAAGTTGTACTCCCATAGTTTTATCTTTACTGATCTTAAAGGAGAAACAGACTGAAGTAAACACCCTTTTACCTATAGGGGAATGAACTAACCAAGAGGAAAACAAACTAGAAGATACTTTGAGTGTCTTACTTCTTGTGCATCTACAAGTACTGGCTGTCTACTGGTAAATATTTCCCACCCCCAAATGAGCACCATTTATAAATGAATATGAGTCCAGAACTATAAGGGGAGTATATGTGTGTATGTATCTATATCTATATCTATATCTATGTATATAGATATAGATATAGATATATATATATATTCCAGTTTACATTCAATATTATTTTCAGTATAGTAGTTAAACAATTATGTACTCTACAAAGTGTTCCCCTGATATTTCCAATACCCACCTGACAATACATAGGTATTACACTATTATTGACTATATTTCCAGTGTTGCACTTTAAATCCCTATGACTATTTTGTAACTGCTTCTCAACCCCTTCACCTTTTCACCCAGTCCCCCAACTACCTTCTCCTCTGGCATCCATCAGTCTGTTGTCTGTATTATGAGTCTGTTTCTGCTTTTTTGTTTATATTGTTTTTTAGATTCCACATATAAGTGAAATCATGTGGTATTCGTCTTTCTCTGACTGGCTTATTTCACTTAGCATGATATCTCTAGGTCCATCTGTGTAGTGGCAAATGATAAAATTTTATTTTTTAAGGCCTAGTAATATTTTATTATGTACATGTACCACGGCTTTTTATTTTTATTTTTTTGTTCCATGAATGAGTGAGATCATGTGTTATTTTTCCTTCATTAACTGCCACGGCTTTTTAAATGGCCTTGTCTACTGATGGGCACTTGGGTTGCTTCCATAGCTTTGCTATTATAAATAGCACTGCATAAACAAAGGAGTGCATATATTCTTTCAAATTAGTGTTCTGGGTTTCTTCAGATATATACCCAGAGGTGGAATTGCTGGGTCATAAGGCAGTTCCCTTTTCAATTTTTTGATGATCCTCCATACTGTTTTCCATAATGGCTGCACCAATCTGCATTCTCAATAACAGTGCACAAGGGTTCCCTTTTCTCCACATCCTTGCCAACATTTGTTGTTTGTGGATTTATTGATAAAAGCCATTCTGATGGGTGTGAGGTGATATCTTATTGTGGTTTTAAGTTGCATTTCTATGAGGGGTTCCTTTTAAATGATTACTGGTGTTTTTGCCTGTAGACCTAGACTCTGAAATATTTCAGGCAACTGATCCGGAAGAATTGAGGCAGGCCTGTAGAACTAATTCCTTCTCCTCATTGAGTCATAAGTTCCTCATAAGCAAACTATGAGACTGGGTTTGTTAAACTTTCAGGAGGAAAAGGGAGCACATTCTATCAGTAATCAAGTACTTTCAGACAAAATCAGATAAAAACACATTAGAAAGTCAAATCTGCTAGAGATATATTTTAGAGTGGGATTCTGTTTCACAGAGAGCTAAAACTGATATAAATTTCTTAATCATATCACTTTTAGACATAATACCTGATGATAGATTCCAGCATTTCCTGCTGTTTTTAAATGTATTCTTTTCACTATAACCATAAAACTAAATGTTAACCATCTATTGCATGCTTACTTTCACCTTTGCCCTAATTATAATGTTTCGTATCCTGACTTTTAATCATTGGTTTATGTATTTTATATTTTTATTTTTCACTCATTTTTAAATAATAAGAGAAAGTGGTAAAAAATATTCAAATAATTTTACAACACCATTGCTCAGGATAAATTTAGAAATATTGCAGGACCTATAAGAAGAGATAGTAGAAAACAAGTGTTTTCCAGTTGAATACAAATCCCTAAATCTGGTCTAGGAAAGGTCATGTTAGGGTGTCAGTACATAGTTTACAAAACCACAGATGTGTTAAAAAGCAATATATCAGAGTCACGAGCAACCTCTTCTGTTCTCTGTACTTCAATATATTTTGACTTTTAGTTTAGATTTCTAAGACATTTGTATGTGGCAGGAATTAAGAGACAGAGGGTAGCTAGGCAATCAGGAATTGGGACCTTGGGGGAGGGAAGAAATAAAACCAGGAAACACAACTAGGTGGAGTGACTAAGGCACCTCAACTGGGCGGGAAAGGAAAGGTTCACATGAAGGGCATGAACTTTAAAATCCTATCTAGTAAAGAGGTGATATGCAAATTGACCATCACTCCAACACGCAAGATGGCCACCCCCATGTGGTCAAAGATGGCCAGCAGGGGAGGGCAGTTGGGCGTGATCAGGCCGGTGGGGAGGGCAGTTAGGGACAATCGGGCCAACAGGGGAGGAGTTAGTCATCGATCAGGCTGGCAGGGGAGTGGTTAGGGGGTGATCAGGCAGGCAGGCAGGTGAGTGGTTGGGAGCCAGCAGTCATGGATTGTGAGAGGGATGTCTGAATGCCCATTTAGGCCCGATCCAGGTGGGCCTCTAGTGTATGGATATTGCTAAGACAGGCAGCGTGCAGATAACCAATCAAAACACAGTAAGGCTTATAAACCAATCCCAAGGATGTTGTTAAGGCAGAATTCTTTAAAAAGACCAATCAGGAGCTAGCACAACTGTATCCACTCCCTAAATTAAGAAATGCAGACACAGCCACTTGGCCTGGAGGTCAAATCCCCCCTGGTATTAGCTACAACAATCAAGGCTTAACTAAAAGACTGCGCACAAAGACCACTAGTGGGTGCACCAAGAAAGCATAACAAAATGCGGAGACAAAGAAACAGGACAAAATTGTCAATGGAAGATATAGAGTTCAGAACCATACTTTTAAGGTCTCTCAAGAACTGTCTAGAAGCCACCGATAAAGCTATTGAGATCTTCGAGAAATCTAATGCAACCCTCGATGTTATGATAAAGAACCAACTAGAAATTAAACATACACGGACTGAAATAACGAATATTATACAGACTCCCAACAGCAGACCAGAGGACCGCAAGAATCAAGGCGAAGATTTGAAATGCGAAGAAGCAAAAAACACCCAACCAGAAAAGCAAAATGAAAAAAGAATCCGAAAATATGAAGATAGTGTAAGGAGCCTCTGGGACAGCTTCAAGCGT